TGTGCTGGCTTATGCATTATGCTTTTGAGGCTCATCCATGTGTTAGTATGTACTAATAGTTTGTTCCTTTTTATTGTTAAGCAATATTGGATCGAGTGGATATTTCATGATTTGTTTATCCATTCTTCTTTGATGTACATTTGGGTTGTTTCTAGTTTGTTGCTATTACGAATAAAGCAGTTACCAACATTTCCATAGAGGTCTTTTTGAGGACTTATTTTCATTTTTCTTGGTTAAATAGCTAGGGGTAGAGTTGCTGGATCATAAGTTAGGTGTGTGTTTAACTTTACAGGAAACTGCCAGACAGTTTACATAATGCACTCTTAATTAATAGACCTGATTACCTGTGAATTCTTCTACATTTTTTTATTTCATGATGTGTTTTTGTCTTGAATTGCATTGATAGGTTATGGGTACATATTCTTTTGAAATGTATCCTTAAAGATAAGACCTTGATTAACTATATCATTTTAATGGTTCTTTAAGTCTTCTGAGTTGTTTATGCAAACAACTTGGAATCTGAAAGAATCATATTGGAAAACTGGGATGATCTCTTTTGTGACTGCCATCTTTTTATCATCTTCTTTAATATTTTATACATACAAAAATATGTGTAATATATGCATTAGTTATAAAGCATAATGATAAAGTGGAAATCTGTAAATTTACCACCCGACCTGAGAATGAACATAGTTCTGAGAACATTGCATGTGCCTATGGGGTTCTCCCCACTCCCTCCCAGAGGTAACCAAGATCCTGTGTTTTGTGTTCTTTATTAATCCTCTTGCCAAAACAAAAGTAAAACAGAACAAAAATACTTTATTGTGTATTTAATTATCTTACTTAAAAAATTGCCACATGTTTTTTGTTGTCCTTGCATTTAAGAGCTTTATCAAAATGGTGTCGTGTGCTTTTTTCAGAACTTGCATTTTTTTTTTTAAATTTAAAATTGTGTTTCAAAGATTTGCCCATGTGTGTGTGGCTGTGGTTTATTCGCTTTTGCTTTGAATGACATTCCTTTCTGGAAATATACCATAGTGTATTGTGTACTTAGAATACTTATCAATTGTCATCTGTGCCGTTTTTCACTGGGTACATATTACATTTTGGGGGCATCTGGTACATTTGGCAGAGTATTTTGAAATAAAACTTTTCAAGTAAACAGTTTTTAAAAAGTGAAACTGAGCAACCAGTTTCAGCTCCAAATGAAGGGAAATTTATAAGACACCTGGGGAAAATTGCATAAAACAAAATGGGTGATGCATTATTGGTGCTATTATAAAGCAAAGACTCCAATTAATGTTTTACTACATGATTTTATTTCCAAGGTTGAAAAAATAAGTTTGACTTTGATATGTAGAATGTAATCCTTGAAGAAAACACAAATCACGTTCTTTGTCTAGGTGATCAAGTTAGAGCTAAAAAGCAATCTAAATTTTCACTCTCTTCTCAATATTAAGCTCTATAATAGTAAGCATGTAACTTCACTGTCTAAAATAATTTATTTCCTACTACTTTCGGAAACACAAACATTTAAAAAACTCACAAATGAAAAATAATTTTGGCTAAAAAAACCTCTACAATATAAATAACTATACATTTCTCTTTATTCCATAAACCTCCCTATGTTCAGTGACAACTCAATGGGCATTTTTATTACTAATACTTGAAATATATTGTGTAGTAAAGATGCTTATATTAGCATTCACCTTTTAAAAATCAGCTCTAAACTTTTGTCTTAATTTACAAGTATGTATTAAAAAATTCTGAACATTAAATATGATGAGAATATAATATTGATATTCCTTTACATTTAGCTGCAGAATGGATCTGTAGGCATCAAGATTAACCTCATGCAGGCAACTCTCTGAAAAAATATTTTAAAAATTAGTAAACTAAATTTTAATTATTCACATATAGTGCCTTATTTTTAAACGATACATGCTAAATTTGAGTTTCTTTTTAAAGATTCTAATATGTTTCTTCCTTTGCTAATGTCCAGAAACATCTAAAACTGGAACATTGTATTTGAAAATTAAGCTGAATTTCAGTTAAACAAAACAAATCCCATATGAATGACTCTTTTAACTAAAAAAGAAAAAAAAGATATATTTCCTTTCTATACACTGACTCACTGAATTGAGCTAAAAATTTCCAAGGGGAAAAATGATTTAGGAAATAAATATAGGGGGGAAAAGGGCTAGGTTTCCATCGTGATAGCTTCTGACTTGTTTTCAGTTCTTAATTGAAAAAATTATTTACGAACGATGGGATGCATAATGTAACGCGGAAATCTTTTACAATTAGAGTAAAAAAAGAAACCTACCTTTCCTTCAGAAACGTTCTTCTCTTACCAGACACCTAATTGTTTATGAAACACTGCCACTCGATCTAGACATTCACAACTCTTTTATTAGCCATCTTCTTTTTTATTTATTATTGACATCAATTAGCCTGAGTCATGAAACCGGACCACATTACAGACGACACGTGGTCCAATCACTATTTTTAAAAGTCCACGTATTTCAAACTCCTTTCTCCAGCCATTGCTGGGCTGTTTCTCCTTTGAGAACCTGGTCTCCGCAGCATTATTTCATTAGATGGCAGTCCTAGGGCAGTCTCTCTTTGGGGAAATCGCTCCTTGGTCACATTCAGGAAAACCACCAAGGAGACCTGGAATTGGTGCTGGTTTCTAGTCACTTACGTAGCAAACGAAACTAGAGAGACGTGCTCGGGAGGACCCCAGGCAGGTGCGGATGGGTTTCCGCAGTGACCACTGATCGCGCGTGTGTGCGGCACATTCCCGGGTCCCGACACCAGCCGGGAGACCCGTACGAGCCCGGGCTTCGGCCCCGGCCCCCCACCCAATCCTCAGGAGCCCTTCGGACACGCCCCCCCAGCCTCTGGGGCCCCGCAGCCCCGCACTGTGCACGCGCCTCGGCCGCTCCCCGCAGCCGCCCACGTGGTGGAGCCCCGAGCCTCGTGAGGCCGCGAGGAGAGCCTAGGGCGGGCCGCGGGTCGTAGAGGCCCGGCCAGCGCGACCCAGCTTGGCCAGCCCCCTGCCCGGGCCCCCACATTTCCTCTCCCGGAGGGAGGCGACACTCCGCCGACCGGCCCTCCCCGGCGCCTGCCGCGCCCCCTGGCGGCCGCCGCGGGGACGCGCCCTGGGCACGCGGGGCAGCCTGTCTGGGCCCCCGTTCCCCAGCTCGGGGCCCGCGGGGGGCGGCAGGCCGTCTCCCCTCGCGCCCCTGAGCCAAGCCACGCGGGCCGCGCCCTTCCCCTTCAGCTCCCTGCAAGCCCCAGAACTCCGGGCTCCCTGGTCGCGAGGCCGCGGCCGTCCCAGCCTTGCGTGAAAGTGCCTTAGTAGCTTGGGGGTCTCCTTTCTCCCAGGTGTGCCCCTCCCGCCACATTCGGGCTTTCCAGCACGCTGAGAAAAAAATGCCGCATGCACGCACTTATTTATTTATTTTGCAACAGCTGCAAGAAACAATGAAGCTTTTCAAGACCCGAGGAAACGCGCTTTCCAGCCGTGCTGTTGTTTTCAATGAACCTCTCCGGCCCCGCACTGCCCGCTCACCCCGCCCCCTCCGCCCACTCCCCTCCTCCTCTCTCCTCCCCAGCCTGCCCCTCCGCCGAGCCCGGGCCGGCGCCGGGGGCATTGTTTTTGGAGTCTTGCGGGAGGGGAGGGCGCGTGCAGGGTGGCCGGCGCAGTGCGGGTGGGGGCGAGAGCGTGTGGGCGCGCGCGCGCGCGTGTGCCGGCGCGGGCGGGGGGCGGGGGCGGTGCCTCGCAGCCTCGCACCCCACGCCCGGGCTCCGCTCCGCACGTCCCTGGAATCCCGGGCTCCGGCTCTTGGCGCGCGCCGGCCTGGGCCGGGCCCTCGGCGCGCCGCGGCTGCGGCTGTGGCCGCTCCAGTGTGCGCGCGGGCGCGTGTGCGCGGTCCCGAGAGCTCGCGCGCGCGAGCCCCCAGTGTGTGGCAGCGGCGGCGGCAGCGGCGCGGCGGGGCTGAGGCTCTTGTTTACCAGCATTAACTCCGCTGAGCGGAAAAAAAAAAAAAAAAAAAGGAAAAAACCCGAGGAGGAGCGAGCGCACCAGGCGAACTCAAGAGAGGCGAGCGAGCGAGAGGGACGCCGCCAGCGAGCCTGTCCCCGGCGCGCCCGTGCCCGGCGCTTGCAGACCCTCGGCCCCGCTCCCCGGGCCCTCCACGCCCCTCCCGCGCGAGGGGAGCTCCACGGCGCGTTGCGCGCCTCGGCTTTGACCTTCAGCGAGCCGGAGCCCCCGCGCGCGGAGCCGGCGGCGGCGGGCGGGGGCCGGGCGGGGGCAGGCGCGGAGCCCGGGCGGCGCGGCGGGAGTGCTGAGCGCGGCGCGGCCGGCCCGCCGCTTTGTGTGTGTTCTGGATTTGGGAAGGAGCTCGCGGCGGCGGCGGCGGCGCTGAGGGAGGAGGCGGCGGCGAGCGGAGCCCGGAGGAGGAGGAGGAGGGGGAGCCGCTCATTCATTTTTACTTCGCATTTCTGCCCCTGGCCGGCCTCGCCCGCGACCCGCACTTCGGGGCAATCTTGCGAACTGCGTCGCGCCCTCCAGCCGCGGAGGCTCGGGTGTCGGACAGCCTCCCCCTCTGCCTGGGGTCGGGTTTGTTTTTCCTCGCCGAGACGAATTTGGGCTTTGCCCCCTTTCTGTGCAGTTTTCCCCCCCTCCTGCCTCTCTGGGTTTGAAAATGGAGGCCGACGACGCCGACAGCCCGCCCCGGCGCGCCTCGGGTTCCCGACTCCGCCGAGCCCTGGGCCGAGGCTGCCGGCGCTGAGGGGCCGCCCCGCGCCGCCGCCCGCCCGCTCCGCGCACCCGGAGGGTCCCTGGCCGGCGCCGCCTTTGGAGTATTGTTTCCTTCGCCCTGTTTTTGGAGGGGGCGAAGACTGAGTTTGAGACTTTTTCTTTCCCGTTTTTTTCTTTTCTTTTTTTTTTCCTTTTTCTTTTTCTTTTTTTTCTTTTTTTTTTTTTTGAGAGAGGGGAATTTCGTCCCAAATAAAAGGAATGAAGTCTGGCTCCGGAGGAGGGTCCCCGACCTCGCTGTGGGGGCTCCTGTTTTTCTCCGCCGCGCTCTCGCTCTGGCCGACGAGTGGAGAAAGTGAGTATGTGCCCGCCGCCCGCGGCCACTGCGGGAACTTTTCCTCCGAGGGGCTGCGCCCTGTTTGCGAAACCCGAGTTGCCACCGTCGCAGCTGTCGGGCCCCTGGGCTCGGGAGCGGCGGGGCGGGGTGCGGAGGGGCTCGGCCAGAAGGCCGGAGCGGCCCCGGGGCCCTGGTTCAGCGCACTCTCGCGCGGGAAGGGCCTCGGGGGCTTTCTCTTTCGCTGTCCCGAGAGCCCTGCCCCGCGGGCCGGTTGTCTTTCGCTGCGCTCGTGCCCGCGCTGGGACTCCGTCGGGGAAGTTCGCGCCGGCCCGGGCCCCGCCACCCACACCTCACCCCCCTCCCGGCGCGCAGGCCACTCGGCACAGAAAGCTGGCCCCCGCGCGGCGCGCAGACGGCGGTGACAGCTCCCGCGGCCGCGCGGGGCCCCTGCTGCTGGGGCACACACGGTGCTCGGGGAGCCCACCGGCCGTGGCGTTCCAGGGGGAGGCGCCCGGCGGAGAGGCCCCGCAGCCCCAGGACACGTTTCCAAGCCTCCCAGCGCGGCCTCTCGTTGCCAACGCGCTTGGCCCCTCGGGCGTTTTGGGGTTCTGGCCTTTCCCTTCCCTTCACTTTCACCCGATCTTCGACGGGTTACCTGCCCCCGGCTTCGGCTTCCCGCGGCAGCCCTGTGCCGCTCAGGGGTTGGGGGGAGCGTTCCCGCTTAGCATTCCCCCCCTCCCCGGAAAACAGCTAGGTTGGGGGCTCTACATCAGTCTGGCTTTTCCGGGGAGTGAGTCTGGGCCACTAGTTCAGAGGGTTCTGGGATTTTCTTCAACCCAGTTGCTATCCGCGGGTAGACGCCTCTCCTCCTCCTGGCGGGGCTGGGGGTGGTCGGGCAGCATCCGACTGTGCTGGAGTGGGTGTGTGGTCCGAGTCGACGTGCAATTCCACACACGTGCTCGCAACGCGGGGCTGTAGCTGTCGCCACACGGCCGCTCGGGAATACCTAGGCGCCTGGCCCTGGCGAGAGGTGTCGTGCGCCGTGGTTTAAGGAGCGCCAGGGTCTGCGGCAGCGGGGGAGGTGGGCGGGAGGGTGTTTTGTTTTGCGAGCGCAGAGCCCTCGCCTTGGTTTTGTGGCCGGAGTTGTGTGGCACTACCTACCCCCCCCACCCGCCCCGCACTTCCTTTGTACAAAGTTAATAAGCAATATCGCTCCACGCTCGCTATCGCTTGCAATCTGATAGCTTTTGTTTTGATAGCGTCGGGTAGGGGTAGGGAAGTGCGGGGAGGGAGGGAGAACTTAGGGCCCCACGGTGTGTGGAGGGAGGCGAGGGAGGGGGTTCCATACTCAAAAAATTGAAACGTGGTTTCCTAGCATAGTCGCGATGGTAGGATAATTTGAACACGACGAAAGTTTCAATGCAGTCGGAGAACTGGGGCTGGGAACGGTGAGGGCGTGTTGGTGAGTAATGTTTGCCGAGGGTATGCAGGTGGTGCCAATTAACTTTGAAAAAATCACGACCGAGCCTTGAAGAGTGAGGGGGAAAACCGGGAGGCGGCGGGGGGCGGGGGGGCGGTCTGGCCCCCTCACAGGGGCGATTCGGAAAGGCTGTTTGTGTAAACAAACCCTTCTTAAGTGTCTTGTAAGAAATGAGTCCATGATGGAGTAAGAGGAGATTTTTTTAAAGAACTAGTGTTTACTACATGGAGTAAGTCGCAGATTGAGGCCGGACCTTCCACAAATCTGAGCTCTCCTGCTCTTTGTTTTCTAAACTTTAAGCTCACTGGATTGGACGAAAGGCTTTCGGCTCCCTTCTAAGGATTACAGATGGTGTTTGGTTGGGGGGGGGTGGGCAGAAGAGGGTTTCTAGCCTCTAAAAGCTAAACACAGTTTAGAAGACACAGGAGAGCTAATCAGTTTTTATGGCATGCTACCGAAGTGTGTAGTGTCTCTAGTTTTATTATTTAACGTTAGTAAGTTCTGAAATTCACAACAGCAATGATGGCCTTGCTTCTTGAGGAAGGAGTCGGGCATTTTAAAATAGGATGTCTTGTTTGGAGCGATCTTCATGAAAACATGCTCTTTGTGAAAGGCAGCTCTTTCTTGAGAAAACAGGAGGAGAAGGGGCATTTTTCATGCTACTGAGAGACCAAAGGTTTTTTCTCAAGGATCCGTTGAAAATCGTTGGTTCCTGAAAACCTGATGGATGGCCAGAAGGCACTCTTGACTCCCCATTTGGTTGGTCCCAAGTCCTCACTCAGTGTCTGCTCCTTCCCACAGCTCTGAAGTTTTCGGGAGAAAATAAGCTCAGTGTTAGCATGTGTTCGCTTTTTAGTCAGAAAGGTGGTAGAAGACTTAACTCTGATAGAAATAAATTACTGAATCCAATCGGAGATAGGTAATTCTTTTGGCTGTCTAGGATAGTGATAAAAATTGGGATGGTGTTGGTTCCTATTGTGTTGGCATATTTAAGGATTAGTGTTTCCTCTTTGAACACTGAAACCTACAGCAGTAGGGTGATTTTCTTTTAAACCTTTAACTTAGATTTAGAAGTTTTTGAGGCAGATGAAGTCATGCAGATATGTGTGTTTTGTATCAACATAATGTGAACAGAGCATCTAAAGAAGGGAGTCTTGGAAGTTATGAGTGGTAGATCATCTGATGGCTTCTTCTTCCTCTTTTTAAAAATCCATATTCACTTCAAACAGATTGTGGCCATCTCATTAAAAGGATTCAGTCATCTTTCTGCCCTAGGCACTGTTACAGCCTCTTGTCAGAGAAATATAGGTATGTGAAAGGTTGGTGTTTAAAGAAGTTGGTGTTTTATTACCAGAGGAAGAGCACAGAATAAGAAGTTTGGAAAAAACCTAAATAGCAAATTATAGTTTAGACTCTGTAGAGAGGACTAGCAAGTAAATGGTACTTTTGAGTAGGGATGGGGTGTGGGTCAGGATTTGGAGTTTAAAAGGTTATATGTTTGATTTGTCAGAAGGATTAGAAAAATCCAACCTTAAGAAATATGCTAAGGTTGACTGGAAGAACCTTAAAAACAAAGTGCTAAGTGAAAGAAGTCAATCACAAAAGACCACATATTGTATGATTCCATTTATATGAAGTCCAGAATAAGCAAATCCATAGAGACTGAAAGTAGATTAGTGGTTGTGTAGGGGGCGGGGAGGCGGGAACAGGGAGTGACTGTTAATGGGTATGGGGTTTCTTTTGGGGGTGATGAAAGTGTTCTAAAATTAGATGGTGGTGATGGTTGTACAACACTGCACTAAAAACCATCGAACTGTACACTTTAAATTAGTGACTTTTATGGCATGCGAATGATATCCCAATAAACCTGTTGTGTTTTTTGGTAGAGATGTGCGGAGGTCGACAAGAATGCATTGTGTTCCTTTGAACATAGAGATTAGATTAAAATTATTAAGTAAATTTGTCCAGCAGGTTGGTGTCTGTCTCTTTTTTATTTGTGGAATTTTTCAGATCCATGCCCTATAGCAGTGCAACAAACCGATGGCTGATGTTCTATCAGCAGCAGGGATTCAAGGCCACAGGAGACATGGAGAAGGAAAAAAAAAAATCTTGGTTCCGCATAGCTCAAGTTAAGGATTAGGGGGTTGGATTAAAGAAACACAAATGCTAGTGAAAGTCAGATTTGTGACAGTAAAATCCTTCACTGCATCTGAAACGAAGTTGGTTTTTCCAAGATTAAAGTTTAGGATCTGGGTCTGGATGGCTTTTTTTGTGTTTCCAGTTTTCTTACATATGTTTTCCAACAAAGAAATAATGTACTGTTTTAAGGTGGTAAAGAATTTCCACTTTTTTTTTTTTTGACATCCCATATTAACTACTCTGGTAGTGAAGACCGAGGACGAATGTGGTGGGTTTTTCTTTGTTGCTCATTTTATTTTCTAAAAAGCTCCAGAATCTGAGCAGGAAACAGAATCTTTGTAAGAGATAGCGGTGGTTGCAGGCATACAGTAATTTTTTTTAAATTTAAAAATTCTCATGGAACAAAAGATTTAAAAACAGAGCAAAGGCAATTTTGTTTTTAAACAGTTATGCCTTTTCCAGGTTTACCTTGGCCTTTTAATGGGAAAAGGCGTAGAGAATAATTGTTGTTTACTTTTGTTTTTGGTCTTTGTCTAAGGCTTAGTTTACTAATAAAAAATGTTTCCTGTCCTTATTGTTGCAAGATCAGGGCTGTGATGAAAATCAACTGTATCATTTTCACTTGTTGCCTTAGAGTTTTGCCAAGGGGAGCCCCCAAGGGACAGTAGCTTCCTTTTAAATCTGGTTTCATTTGTTTTGTGAAAATGTGCTTCGAGAAGCAACCAAATCCAACCAGCACTTATTGGGCACCTTCTGTATGAAAGCTGGACCCTGTGCTAGGCAATGCGTAAGCTTACAAAGAAAGAGGACTTTGCTTTTGCCCTTGGGGCATTTTATAAACTCCTTCATGAAACAAAGTTGCTTGCACATTTAGATCTTTTTTAGACTCAACACAGGATAGGCAGTTTTCAAATCGACAGCAAACAGCGTTTTAAAGGCTCTTCAAAAACATGTAATCTGCAAGTAAACCAGTGTTGCTGAATCTTCTCAAGCCCTGTGTTGTACCATTTTTGCCACCTTAACATACTACCTCCTACTGCAGTGGCATGGCAGGCCACGACACATAGGACACATTCACTCATCTTTGCTCAGCCTCGCTGCTTTGGGAGAACATTGGTTATGACAATTGTGATTAAAAGTATGGAGTGTTGCAGTTACCTTTTGCCAAAACTTTAGGAGTTACAGGTGTGTCCATGAATGCTGCACAGCATGTTTTGAGTTGTAAGGGAGATGGAACTGTTCTGGATTTACGCATTGCTTAGCTTTCTGGAAATTATTAGGAAACTTTCTAAATTGTAAGGCTTTATAATTTAAAAGAACTCGCTGTTTTTAAAGGTGTGAGGGGTAAGAAGATTGAGGAGGCAATTAAATCTTGATTTTTTTTTTTAATCCTAAAAAG